ATACGTAAGACAAGGACAACGCCACTACACCCACAGTCCGACGGCATGGTGGAAAGGTTCAATCGGACTATGGAGCAACACCTTTCGAAAGTGGTAGAAGAGCACCAAAGGGATTGGGACCAGCACCTTCCACTATTCCTGCTGGCCTACCGCGCAGCTATCCACGACACCACGGGCCAAACACCTGCTCACGTTGTATTTGGGAAGGAACTGCGGCTGCCCTGTGACCTAGTCTTTGGATTGCCATCCGAAGAACCAATGGAAGTACGTGACTACGTGGACGAACTGAAAGAGAAGTTGGTCAACGTGCATGAACTAGTGAGGGGCCGGATCAAGATTGCCAGTGACCGAATGAAGACCCGTTATGATGTGAAGGCCAACTGTGGCGGATTCCAGGAAGATGACTTAGTGTGGCTGTATAACCCCCGACGGAAGAAGGGACGTTGCCCAAAACTGGCTCCTGACTGGGAAGGTCCATACACTATCGTCACTAGAATAAATGACGTAGTTTATCGGATCCAACGTGGACCAAAGACGAAGATGAAGATCGTTCATCTCGATCGACTAAAACGGTACGAAGGAAACAACGAAGACGCTTCCGATCGGGACGATCGGATTTGAAGAGGGGGGCAGTGTTACGAAATACACCCTTACGCCGCCCCAGTACGACGCCTATGGCGGTCGAGAGCCTTCTGGACGTACGCACGGCGCTGATGGGTGAATCATCGCTGTTGACGGCCGAGAGGCGGGCGCATAAAGACAGGTCTGGAGCGTCTCGAAGCGGCGTCCAGGGGAGTCTCGAAGCGGAGTCGCGATGGATGTTCGTGAAGGATCTCGATCAGAGACTATGGGTTTAAATAGAGGCGACCGTAGGTAATGGATTCATTCATCCAGTGAAGACAGTCGAGAGCGCCGGAATAATTTCTGTACATATTCGTCGCAATAGATAGTGTTGTAATTCGACCTGAAGAAATAAATTTTTTGAGTTTTACCAACACCCGATTTATTATTCGTCCGTCAATCGTAACACTATTTTTCATTTTTCGATTTTTCAGTTTCTCAGTTTTTCAAGTTCTTGATTTTGTTTCACAATTTTTCATTTTTTCAACTTTAATTTTTCCAGTTTTTCAATTTCTCGAATTCCAATTCTTGATTTTTATTTTTCGTTTTCCCAATTTTTTTATTGTCATTTTCTCGATTTCATATCACAATTTTCGTTTTTTCATTTCCATTATTTTGCCTATGTTTCTTTTGAATTAATAATTTTTCAATTTCTCGAATTCCAAAATTTTCAAATTCGTCGATTTGCAATTTTTCGACATCAAATTTTTCATTTTTCGATTTTTCAGTTTCTCAGTTTATAATTTTTCTATTTCTGGTTTCCTTAGTTTTCAAGTTCTTGATTTTTATTTTTCATTTTGCCAATTTTTTAATTTTCATTTCTTGGTTTTATTACAAAAATTTTTGTTTTTTCATTTCCTTTATTTTTTAAAGTTTCCTTCGATTTTATAATTTTTTGTTTTTTTTCAACTTTTGAAATATTCAATGTTTGATTTTTTGAATTTCTAAATTTGTCGACTTCCAAATTTTTCAGTCTTTGATTTTTTTAATTTTGTAATTTTTGATGTTACAGTTTTTCATTTTTCGATTTTTCAGTTTCTCAGTTTTTCTTTTTCTCGAATTCCAAATTTTTCAAGTTTCCGTTTCTTCAATTTTTCAAGTTCTTGATTTTTATTTTTCATTTTGCCAATTTTTAATTTTCATTTTTTCTTGATTTTATTTCAAAATTTTTTGTTTTTTCATTTCCTTTATTTTTAAAGTTTCCTTCGATTTTATAATTAGTTATTTGTTTTTTTTTTCAACTTTTCAAATATTCAATGTTTGATTTTTTGAATTTCTCAATTTTTCAATTTCTCGAATTCCAAATTTTTCAAATTTACAATTTTTCGATATTAAATTTTTCATTTTCCGATTTTTCAGTTTCTCAGTTTTTCTATTTTTGAGTTCCTTATTGTTCAAGTTCTTGATTTTTATATTTCATTTCCTTTATTTTTTAAAGTTTCCTTCGATTTTATAATTTTTTGGTTTTTTTTTCAACTTTTCAAATATTCAATGTTTGATTTTTTGAATTTCTCAATTTGTCGACTTTCAAATTTTTTAGTTTTTTGATTTTGGAATTTTTCGATTTTGCAATTTTTCATTTTTCCGACTTTTTAATTTTCATTTTCTCTATTTTATTTCACAATTTATCGTTTTTTCAATTTCTCGAATTCCAAATTTTTCAATTTTACAATTTTTCGATATTAAATTTTTCATTTTTCAATTTTTCAGTTTCTCAGTTTATAATTTTTCTATTTTTGGTTTCCTTACTTTTCAAGTTCTTGATTTTATTTCAAATTTTCTTGTTTTTTCATTTCCTTTACTTTTTAAAGTTTCCTTCGATTTTGTAATTTTTTGTTTTTTTTTCAACTTCAAATATTCATGTTTGAATTTTTCAATTTGTCGACTTCCAAATTTTTCAGTTTTCTGATTTTGGAATTTTTCGATATTGCAATTTTTCATTTTTCCGACTTTTTAACTTTCAATTTCTCGATTTTATTTCAGTTTTTCATTTTTTCAATTTCTTGAATTCCAAATTTTTCAAATTTACAATTTTTCGATATTAAATTTTTCATTTTTCAGTTTCTCAGTTTATAATTTTTCAATTTTTGGTTTCCTTAGTTTGCAAGTTCTTGATTTTTATTTTTCATTTGCCAATTTTTTAATTTTCATTTCTTGATTTTATTTCAAAATTTTTGTTTTTTCATTTCCTTTATTTTTAAATTTTCCTTCGATTTGATAATTTTTTGTTTTTTTTTTAATTTTCAAATATTCAATGTTTGATTTTTTGAATTTCTCAATTTGTCGACTTCCAAAATTTTCAGTTTTTTGTTTCTTCAGTTTTTGGATTTTGGGATTTTTCGATCTTGCAATTTTTCATTTTTCAGACTTTAATTTCCATTTTCTCGATTTTATTTCACAATTTTTCGTTTTTTAACAATTTCTCGAATTCCAAATTTTTCAAATTTGCAATTTTTCGATATTAAATTTTTCATTTTTCGATTTTTCAGTTTCTCAGTTGATAATTTTTCTATTTTTGGTTTCCTTAGTTTTCAAGTTCTTGATTTTTATTTTTCATTTTGCCACTTTTTTAATTTTCATTTCTTGATTTTATTTCAAAATTTTGGTCTTTTCATTTCCTTTAGTTTTCAAAGTTTCCTTCGATTTTATAAATTTTTGTTTTTTTTTTCAACTTTTCAAATATTCAATGTTTGATTTTTTGGATTTCTCAATTTGTCGACTTCCAAATTTTTCAGTTTTTTGATTTTGGAATTTTTCGATATTGCAATTTTTCATTTTTCCGACTTTTTAATTTTCATTTTTCGATTTTTCAGTTTCTCAGTTTATAATTTTTCTATTTTTGGTTTCCTTAGTTTTCAAGTTCTTGATTTTTATTTTTCATTTTGCCAATTTTTTAATTTTCATTTCATGATTTTATTTCAAAATGTTTTGTTTTTTCATTTCCTTTATTTTTAAAAGTTTCCTTCGATTTTGTAGTTTTTTTTTCAACTTCAAATATTCATGTTTGAATTTTTCAATTTGTCGACTTCCAAATTTTTCAGTTTTCTGATTTTGGAATTTTTCGATATTGCAATTTTTCATTTTTTCAATTTCTTGAATTCCAAATTTTTCAATTTTTGGTTTCCTTAGTTTTCAAGTTCTTGATTTTTATTTCTCATTTGCCAATTTTTTAATTTTCATTTCTTGATTTTATTTAAAAATTTTTGTTTTTTCATTCCTTTATTTTTTCGTTTCCTCAATTTTCATTTTCTTTATTTTTTTTTTGTCTTTCGCTTTTATAATTTTGCAATTTTTGGATGTTACAGTTTTTCATTTTTCAATTTTTTAGTTTCCCAATATTTAATTTTTCGATTTTTCACTTTTTAAAGTTCTTAATTCCCAATTTTTAGATTTTTAATGCATTCATTTTATACTTTTTAATTTTTTCATTTTAGAATGTTGCAATTTTTCCATTTTTTGCTTCGAAAAATTGAAAAATATAAAAGTTGAAAAAAACGACACTTTGCAAAATCCAAAAACTGAAAATTTTCACGTTGGAAAAAGAAAAATTATAAAATCAGAACATTGAAGACCGAAAATTTGAAAAAATGAAGAAAATAAAAAACCGAAACGAAAAAAAAATTGAAAATTGAAAATTTAAAATCTGAGAAGTGGAATGAATGAATGCAAGTTTTAAAATACAATAATTGAAAAATGGATTTTTTAATTTTTATTTTTTCGATTTTGCCACAATTTTCGTTTTTCCAAAATTTTCAATTCTTCGATTTGCTATTTTTCGTTGTTACGGTTTTTCATTTTTCGATTTTTTAGTTTCTGAATTTTTAATTTTTCGATTCTTCAAGTTTTTAATTCCCAATTTTCAGATTTTTCAATACTTTCATTTTATACTTTTTCGTTTTTTCATTTTAGAATTCTGCAATTTTTCCATTTTTTCGATTCGGAAAGTCGAAAAATCGAAAAATTTAAATAGTAAAAAATTGTAAAATGAAAAAATCTAAAACTGAAAAGCGAAAAATAAAAAAAATCGAAAAGTGAAAAAACAAAAAAATGCAAAATTCAATTGAACAATGGAAAAATTCTAAAATCGTAAAATTGCATAAGGGAAAAACTTTAAAAATTATTATTACATATTTAAACTGAAAACTAGAAAAAGTTTTCTAGTTGCAATTGCAAATCAAAAATTGAAGAAACGAAAATTGAAAAGTGAACTAAAAAATTTATTAAAAAAAAAATTTTAAATGAAAACTCGAACAGTTGCACAATTGAAGAAACAAAAAAATGAAGGATCTTCATAGCACTAATCAAAAAACCATTTTTTTTAATTTTTCAAAAAAATACCCTCGGACCATTTTTTTAATCCCTCGTTTGTTCTCTTTCAGAATCCACCACGAATCGGTCCCCGCCATCCCTCCAAAGAAACTGCCAAGCAACTTAAAAAAATCCCGCAACCTCGCCCAAAAAATGGACAACCTAAACATCGACGACATGGAATTCCTCGAACTGCGCCAAAAATCCGACTACTCCTCCGACGACGAGTCCCTCCGCCGACGCAGCCGCCTCTCCGACGAAGACTACATCCGCCGAATCAAACGACTCTGCAACCCGGGGGACCTCGGCGACTTCTACCACCGCACCACGAAAGACATCGGCTCGGGCGCCTCGGGCATCGTCTTCGCCGCCAGCGACCTAAAAACGGGCAAACCCGTGGCCATCAAGGACATCGACATGGCCAAGCAGCAGCGCAAAGAGCTCCTCTTGAGCGAAATCGAGATAATGAAGAACTTCCAGCACAAGAACTTGGTGAACTTCTTGGACGCCTTCGTCATGTACGAGGACCACCTCCTGGTGGTGATGGAGCTGCTGGACGGCGGACCGCTGACGGACGTGGTCACCGAGACGGTGATGAAGGAGGGACAGATCGCAGCTGTGTGTTACGAGGTGCTGCAAGCCATAGACTACTTACACTCGAGAGGGACGATCCATAGGGACATCAAGTCGGATAACGTCCTTCTAGGGATGGACGGCACGGTGAAAGTGACCGATTTCGGGTTCTGCGCCAACGTAGTGGGGAATGAGCAACGGGAGACCATGGTGGGGACGCCGTACTGGATGGCGCCCGAAGTAGTGACCCGACAGAAGTACGGCAAGAAGGTCGATATTTGGTCGCTCGGTATCATGATCGTGGAGATGTTAGACGGAGAGCCGCCGTATTTGCGCGAACCTCCACTCAGAGCGCTTTATTTAATCACGGCGAACGGCCGGCCTAAGATCATCCGGTGGCCCCAACTCAGCCAGAATTTGAAGGACTTCATCGATCGGTGTTTGCAGGTCGACGTCGATCAGAGGGCGACCGCTGCAGAGTTGCTCAAGCACGAGTTCATGGACGACAGGATGGAGTTGAAGACTTTGACGCCGCTGATCAAGGCGGCGAAAAAAATTCTACATAAGGCTTAAGTTATTTTTTGTGATAGATGGAGCCACCAAGTGACGTCGGGCGAGTATTTAAGTCGGGAAGAGCTGCATTTGTTCAGTAAGACTGACTGGCGTTTGTAATTACACAAATTCCCATTTATTTTTATAAAGTCTTACAGTAAGATATTTTTCTAGTTCCAGAAGGAATTTTACAGTCACTAAAATATTGCAATAAGATTATTGTAACTGTTTATGTACATATTGTGACATTAAATACGTTTATAATATCGTGGACGTTACGACCACGTGTCCACTATGAGTCTCCCTGTGCTTTCCATTCGTCGAACGACGGCCTCGCCGTCGCTCGCACCACAATATTTACCCGCGGTTTGAGAAATACAAGTCCGGACGTCTGTGACCACGGTTTTCGCGTCGCCACAAATAAACACAGACGCGTCTTTGTGTAAAATCCACTCGAAAAAGTCGGGACTAGCCTCAATTCGGTGTTGAACATACTCTTTCTGTCTTTGTTCTCTAGAAAAAGACAGACTGAGTTTTTTTAAAACGCCAGATTTTTCAAATTCTTGGATTTCGTCCTTAAACAAAAAATCTTTGTCTTTGTAGCGACACCCATAAAACAACCAAATATCCCTATTGAAGCGTCCTTGTAACTCCAAATCTTGCAGAAAACCCCTAAAAGGTGCTATTCCGGTACCCGTCGCTATTAAAATCACCGGCAATTCCGGTAATTCCTTCGGGAACCTAAAGGCAGTCGCTTGTCTGAAATAAAACGGTACCGGAATGTCCGCTTTTTCCTCGATTAGACGTTCGAGCCACCCTGTGCACAACCCCTTGCTTCCGTCGTCCCGTACAACAACGAAAAAAGTTATTTCGAGTTTCCCGGACAAGGGGGATGATGATATAGAGTAGGGTCTGGCTTGTAAAGGGGGCAGATGCTCCAGAAGTACCTCGACTGGGGGTCCGCATGAAGGGAACGTTTTTAGTAAACCCAATAGGGTTCGTCCTGATGTGGTTATCAACTTTGTGTAGTCGCTGGAACCTTTGGGGGTACACAAGTGTTCCAGGTGGGTTCGTTCTTGCGGGTCTTGGGTGAACCGGGCCAAGGATTTGAGGAACAACTGAAATGTAGGTTAAAGTTTTACACGCGAGCGCAGCGAGCACAAGTAGAACATTTTTCTTAATTTAGCTTCTCAGGGGCACCAATAAATATTTTTTAAATTGCACCTGAACGTGCTCGCTGCGCTCGCATTTCAAACTTCTTTTTTCAGCTTAACAGAAGTGTGCAGGTAAAAGACCCAGTGAGGTTGTTTGAGTTCTAAAACTTTAAATACGAGCGCAGCGAGCACATTGCATTTCCTATCTAGAGAGTCACACAATTTTCAAAATTGCCGTTTGAAATTTATAATTCTATGGTATGTCATTTCCGCAAAAAGACGGTAAAAGTATTCCAAGAACTTCTTAAAAAGCCTATGTATTTTTTTTAATGACGTCGAATTAATTTTATAGAAAACTAACCAAAAAGCTTACTTCAAAATCGCAGTTATATGAAAATATTTAGAATTGTATTCATTAAAATGACAGATTGTTCTAAAAGTAGTTGTGCATTCTGGCAGTTTTGCAAAATGAACGTGAAAGTATTTCATGAACAGAAAAAGCCTTGCAAATTTTAGACTTCGTCGAATTTTCTTTTGAGTGACTGATTGTTCTAAAAATAGCTCTCCAATCTGACAGTTTTGCGAAATGAACGTGAAATTATTCCATGAACAGAAGAAGCCTTTGTAAATTTTAGGCTTCGTCGACCGGTTTTTAAGAGTGACTTCTATATGATTAATGAACATACTAATAATGGACACAATAAAATTTTCCCTCTTTTAATGTAATAAGGCTTCTTCTGTTCATTTCACGTTCATTTCGCAAAACTGTCAAATTCGAGAACTATTTTTAGAACAATCTGTCACTCAAAAGTAAATTCGACGAAGCCTAAAATTTGCGAAGGCTTTTTCTGTTCATGAAATACTTTCACGTTTATTTTGCAAAACTGCCAGAATGCACAACTACTTTTACAACAATCTGTCATTTTAATGAATACAATTCTAAATATTTTCATATAACTACGATTTTGAAAATTGTATAAAGTGAAAATACAAAATTAGTTTTTCCACGTTGAAAAAAGAGGGAAAATTTTATTGCGTCCATTATTAGTTTGTTCTTTAATCATATAGAGGTCACTCTTAAAAAAAGGTCGACGAAGCCTAAAATTTACAAAGGCTTCTTCTGTTCTCTCTTAAGTGACAGATTGTTCTAAAAGTATTTATGTAATCTGACAGTTTTGCAAAATGAGCGTGAAAGTATTCCATGAACTCTTCGCGGACACTTTTTTTTAAGACTGGCAACTTCTATGATTTTATAAAAAAAAAAACCTCAATAAATTTCCTCTTTTACTTCGATGTGGAAAATAAATTATTTGAATTTTCATTTTACTCCTATGATCTGTCAGATTTGCAAAAAAAAAAACGTGTGAAAGTATTCCAAGAGCAGAAAAGCCTTTGCAAATTTTAAGCTTCATCAAATTTTTTTTTAAAGCGACTTCTATGATTTAAAAAAAAAAACTAAAAATAAACGCAATACATTTTCCCTCTTATTTCAACGTGGAAAAACTAATTTTTTATTTTCACTTTATACAGTTTTCAAAATCGCAGTTATATGAAAATATTTAGAATTGCATTCATAAAATGACAGATTGTTCTAAAAGTAGTTGTGCATTCTGGCAATTTTGCTAAATGAACGTGAAAGTATTTCATGTACAGAAAAAGCCTTTGCAAATTTTAGACTTCGTCGAATTTTCTTTTGAGTGACAGATTGTTCTAAAAATAGTTCTCCAATCTGACAGTTTTGCGAAATGAACGTGAAAATATTCCATGAACAGAAGAAGCCTTTGTAAATTTTGGGCTTCGTCGACTTTTTTTAAGAGTGACTTCTGTATGATTAAAGAACAAACTAACAATGGACGTAGTAAAATTTTCCCTCTTAATTTGACGTTGAAAACTAAATTTTCATTTTCACTTTACACAATTTTCAAAATCGCAGTTCTATGAAAATATTTAGAATTGTTTTCATAAAGTAACAGATTGTTATAAAACTAGTTTTTCAATCTGACAGTTTTGCAAAATGAATGTGAAAGTATTCCGTGAACAGAAAAAGCCTTTACAAATTTTAGGCTTCGTCGACATTCGCAATAAATTTTCCCTCTTATTTCAAGGTGGAAAAACAATTTTTTTATTTTCATTTTATACAATTTTCAAAATCGCAGTTATATAAAATATTTAGAATTGCATTCATAAAGTGACAGATTGTTCTAAAAGTAATTTTGTAATCTGACGGTTTTGCAAAATGAGCGTGAAAGTATTCCATGAACTCTTCGCGGACTCTTTTTTTTAAGACTGACAACTTTTATATGATTTTATAAAAAAAAATAAAACTCAATAAATTTCCTCTTATACTTCGATGTGGCAAATAAATTATTTGAATTTTCATTTTACTCCTATGATCTGTCAGTTTTGCAAAAAGAACGTGTGAAAGTATTCCAAGAGCAGAAAAGCCTTTGCAAATTTTAAGCTTCATCAATTTTTTTTTTAAAGCGACTTCTATGATTTAAAAAAAAAAACTAAAAATAAACGCAATACATTTTCCCTCTTATTTCGACGTGGAAAAACCAATTTTTTATTTTCACTTTACACAAATTTTCAAAATCGAAGTTATATGAAAATATTTAGAATTGCATTGATAAAGTGACAGATTGTTCTAAAAGTATTTATGTAATCTGTCAGTTTTGCAAAAAGAACGTGAAAGTTTTCCAAGAGCAGAAGAAGCCTTTGCAATTTTTTTAAGAATGACGTCTATTAATTTTATTGAAAACTGACAGAAAAGCAAGAATTTTATTCATAAAGTGACAGATTGTAAAAGTATTTATGATGTAATCTGACAGTTTTGCAAAATGAACGTGAAAGAATTCCACGAACAGAAAGAGCCTTTGTAAATTTTAGGTTTTGTCAACATTTATATGAAAATATTTAGAATTGTACTCATGAAGTGACAGATTATTAAGTAGTTCTCCAATCTGACAGTTTTGCAAAATGAACGTGAAAGTATTCCATGAACAGAAAGCCTTTGCAAATTTTAGGCTTCGTCAACTTTTGTTTTAAGAGAAACTTCTATGATTTAAAAAAAAAACTAAATGACGTCTAATTATTTTTACAGAAAACTAACAAAAAACAATTAATTTTCCCCCTTATTTTGAAGTGAAAAATTAAATTTGAGTTTTAACTTTACACAAATTTGAAAATCCCAGTTATATGTATCATCACGTTTTCAAGAAATGTGAAAATATTTAGAACTTTATCATACAATGACAGTTTGTTCTAAAAGTAGCTATGCAATGTGACAGTTTTAAAAATTGAACGTAAAAGTATTCCATTAACAGAAAAAGCCTTTGCAGATTTTGGGCTTCGCTAACACATTTTTTTTATTAATGACTTCTATATGATTCAGAGTTTTATTTATAATGTGACAGATTTTTCTAAAAGTAGTTCTGTAATCTGACAGTTTTGCAAAATGAACGTGAAGGTATTCCACGAACAGAAAAAGCCTTTGCAAATTTTAAGCTTCGTCGACTTTTTTAAGAGCGAATTCTATGATTTAAAAAAACTAACAATAAACGCAATAAATTTTCCCTCTTATTTCAACGTGGAAAACTAATTTTCATTTTCATTTTGTACAATTTTCAAAATCGCAGTTACATGAAAATATTTAGAATTGTATTCATGAAGTGACAGATTGTTCTAAAAGTAGTTTTGCAATCTGACAGTTTTGCAAAATGAACGTGAAAGTATTCCAAGAACAGAAAGTCTTTGCAAATTTTACGCTTCGTCTACTTTTTTTTTAAGAGTGACTTCTATATGTTTTAAAACAAAATAACAATAAACGCAATAAATTTTCCTTCTTATTTTAACGTGGAAAACTATTTTTTTTGTTTTCAGTTTATACAATTTTTTCGACCATCTCTGAAGATTACCCAAAGAGATTTTCTTGTAAATTTTGACTCTATAGCCCATTTTCGGCGTCATTTTTTCGAAAAAAGTCAGTATTTTCTAGAAACGCTAATATAAAATGGCAATTTTCTGAAAATCATGGTCCGGGATTCTTATATTATTGGAATCAGCATGGCGAGATCAATATCCTAGAAGTTTTTGTAGATTTTTGGACAATGTTTTCCGAAAGCATAATTTTTTTAAAACAAAATTATGAAATTTTCGACCATCTTGGAAAGTTATCTAAAGGTATTTTATTGTAGCTATATTTGGACCTCCACAAGGTATTTTCGGATTCATTCTTCGAAAATTCCTACTATTTTTTCCAGAATAGATACCATAAAATTGACATTTTCTTGGGATTTTGAAAAACAATATTTCGAAAATCTTGGTCCGGAATTATAGACGCGCTATATTTTTTAGATCAGCATTTGTTCAGATAAAACTGATTTTGGTAAATGATATACCTCTTAAGAAAATAGAGGGCGGGTGGGCGGGGATCTTATTTGCTAAGATAAGACCGAACAATTTCAAGACTAGTCACTAGAATGAAAAATGGTGTAGAAAAAACTAAACCCAGTCCCTCTTCATCTCTTTTCTCCATTTCACTGACTTATTTAGTTTACGGTAAAATGGGAATTTAATTCTATTTTGAAAAACGGTAGAATCTAAGATTTAAAACACAAATCAGAAGTGAATTCTACGAAAATATTTAGTATTGTATTCATAAAGTGACAAATTGTTCTAAAAATAGTTCTGCAATCTAACAGTTTTGCAAAATGAACGTGAAAGTATTCCATGAACAGAAAAGGCCTTTGCAAATTTTGGGCTTCGCTTACCCGTTTTTGTTTAAGAATGACTTCTGTTTTATAAAAAAAAGCTACCAAAAAACTCTACTTTATTCAAAAAGTGACAGATTGTTCTAAAAGTGGTTATGTAATCTGATAGTAAGAATGATGACTTCTGTGTGATTTTATATATAAAAAAAAAGAACCCAATAAATTCCCCTTTTATTTTCAAATTACACAATTTTCAAAATCGCTATTTAGAATGTTTAGTTCTGAGATCTGTCAATTTTGCAAAAAAAAAACGTGAAAGTATTCCAAGAGCAGAAAAAGCCTTTGCAATTTTTTTAAGAATCACGTCTAATTATTTTTATAGAAACTAACAAAGAACAATAAATCTTCCCCCTTATTTTGAGGTGAAAAATTAAATTTGAGTTTTTATTTTACACAATTTTGAAAATGGCAGTTATTAATATAACTGATACACGTTTTCATGGTATGTGAAAATATTTAGAATTTTATTGACAAAGTGACAGATTGTTCTAACAGTAATTTTGTAATCTGACAGTTTTGCAAAATGAACGTGAAAGTATTCCATGAACTCTTCGCTGACTCTTTTTTTTTTAAGACTGACAACTTCTATATGATTTAATAGAAAAAAAGTAAATAAAAATTCAAAAAATTTCCTCTTTTACTTCGACGTGGAAAATAAATTATTTGAATTTTCACTTTTCATAATTTTCGAGATCGCCATTCAGAATTTTAGAATTTTTAGTTCGTGATCTGTCAGTTTTGCAAAAAGAACGTGGAATTATTTTAAGAGCAGAAAAATCCTTTGCATTTTTTTTAAGAATGACGTCAAATTAATTTTATTGAAAACTGACAAGAAAAGCAATACATTTTTCCTTTTATTTTGGGGTGAAAAATTAATTTTGTATTTTCACTTTACACAATTTTGAAAATCGCAGTTATTAATATAACTGATGCACGTTTTCACGGCATGTGAAAATATTTAGAATTTAATTGACAAAGTGACAGATTGTTCTAAAAGTAATTTTGTAATCTGACAATTTTGCAAAATGAACGTGAAAGCATTCCATGAACTCTTCGCGGACTCTTTTTTTTTTAAGACCGACAACTTCTATATGATTTTATAGAAAAAAGTAAATAAAAACTCAATAAATTTCCTCTTTTACTTCGAAGTGGAAAATAAATTATTTGAATTTTCACTTTTCATTATTTTCGAGATCGCCATTCAGAATTTTAGAATTTTTAGTTCGTGATCTGTCAGTTTTGCAAAAAGAACGTGAAATTATTTTAAGAGCAGAAAAAGCCTTTGCATTATTTTTTAGGAATGACGTCAAATTAATTTTATTGAAAACTGACAGAAAAGCAATACATTTTTCCTTTTATTTCGGGGTGAAAAATTAATTTTGTATTTTCACTTTACACAATTTTGAAAATCGCAGTTATTAATATAACTGATGCACGTTTTCACGGTATGTGAAAATATTTAGAATTTTATTGACAAAGTGGCAGATTAATTGTTCTAAAAGTAATTTTGTAATCTGACAGTTCTGCAAAATGAACGTGAAAGTATTCCATGAACTCTTCGCTGACTCTTTTTTTTTTTAAGACTGACAACTTCTATATGATTTTATAGAAAAAAAGTAAATAAAAACTCAATAAATTTCCTCTTTTACTTCGAAGTGGAAAATAAATTATTTGAATTTTCACTTTACATAATTTTCGAAATCGCCATTCAGAATTTTAGAATTTTTAGTTCCGTGATCTGTCAGTTTTGCAAAAAGAACGTGAAATTATTTTAAGAGCAGAAAAAGCCTTTGCATTTTTTTTAAGAATGACGTCTAATTAATTTTATAGAAAACTAACAAAAAAGCAAGAATTTTATTCATAAAGTGACAGATTGTTCTAAAAGTAGTTATGTAATCTGACAGTTTTGCAAAATGAACGTGAAAGTATTCAAAGAACGCAAAAAGCCTTTGCAAATTTTGGGCTTCGCTGACTTTTTTTTTAAGAATGACTTCTAATAATTTATAGAAAAACTAACTGTTACCTTTTTGGGTGGAGTTTGCACATCTACATGATTCTGAAATATTTTTTTCAGAGTACTCTTCGGAGGCAAATGTTTAGGAACACTTGGATTTTTTTTAAGTGTCCCTTCCAAAATTTGCAACTCGCAGGCCTCATTCGCACTTGATGCAACATTTAATCGTGCAAGAATTTCGTCGATAAGATCTTCATTATTACTCGGAAGCACACCTATGGTATCACCTGGTACGAATGCATGATTTATATTCTACAAAATAAAACCATTTTCTTACACATTCGGAAAAATTTGATCAAATTTACCGCCGAATTAAACACCACTCTGTACACAGTTTTGACGTCTTGGTGATCAGTCAATTTTTGTGCACTCTCAATGGGCGCAGAAATAATTTCACCGTTTGTAACCCCAAAAGGTGTTAATCGGTATTTATTTCCGTCACGAACCTAAAAAAACAATCCCGAGTTAAAGAAAAAACGGATTTTAAGTTCCGCGTTGTCGTCCCGTACCTGCGCCCCTTGTTTCAAAAGCACAACTTTCAAATAATCCGAAGACATTTCTTTGAATTTAACCTCAAATTTGAAATGTGTACCACATGACATGTTAGTTGGTCCTTGTCAAGTGCTTGTCAAATTATTGCGAAATTGCTTAAATCAGCCTTGAATGTGATCGAAATTATTAGTAAGCGTGCAAATTTGGCCCCTTGTGGTCATCTTTTATTAGAAAAGAGTGAAGAAAGGGGAATTTGTGCAAAAATCGCCCGTTATACTCTGGGTAGGTAAGTTTGGTTTTAACGCAACGTTGCTGATTTTGAGGTTTCAGAGGGCGTTCTGGTGGCTTTCAGAGGGTTTTCGTGGCGTGGTTGACGGGTTTTGGCCCCCTGGAGCTCTCCTTCGATGGTGGTCTGAAAATGGCGAAAGTGTCTCAATGCGGATTTTGCTTTGAAATGCTCGTGGAACGAAAGTGTGGGGTTCGACTTGTCGTGGCGACAAAGGGCCCGCGTCGATTTTCCGCCGTTGGCCCTTTTCCCAGCGGCCGATTGAGGTCGCGTTCGAACTTCCCGCGCTCAGATGTCGCCCGCTTCGTGCGCGTCCGCCTTCGCTCGGTCCGCGCCAAAAGCTGTCTTCCAGGCTCGCCGTCGAATTTAATTCGCGTCCCCGAAGGTGCGAACGTGTCGGAAAAATCGTTGGCGGTTTTTGGGAGGCCGCTGCGAGCACGGGGAGCGGCGTCGCCGGGTTATGTAACGTGTCCGAGTGCGTGTTTTGACTCTGTTTTGACTCCGGCGGTGTGCAGGCCTTGACTGAAATCTCGCGTTTGCTCTGTGATCGGAGTCGCCGTTGGTTGTTGTGAGGGCAAGCGAATAGAGTGCGTTGTTTGGTGTAAAGTGAAGTCGCCATTGTTGTTCAATAAAATAGTGCGGAGTTCTCGTGCGTGGAAGTCGTCCGTGGGGATGGCGTCCTGGTGAGAGCGTCGCCGGAAGCGGTCCTTTGTGCTGGGTGCTCGCGTAGACGTTGGCGTTTCGCAGTGCCGTCACGTGGGAGTGCTGTGGTGATTCGGTCGAAAATCGGAAGCGGAAGCATGGAGCCGGCGGGCGACTAGGAGGGCGGCCCTGGGGCGGAGCGCCGGATGAATGGGACTGCGTACGGCCTCGGTGCGGCGGCCCTATGCGGAGGCTATGGCCCCGGCCCTGACGGACCCTGCCCAGAAGCAGAGCTTCACGCTGCCCCCCAAGCCCAGGTAGAGACACCCGCTTGCTTTCTCCCGTTCCCTTCCCCCCAGAAACTCTTCGCTGCTGTTTACCGGGTCGCAGACACGGCCCCCGACCTAACAGGCCAAACATTGCACAATTTTCAACACTGTTTCAGAATCTCAAATCGCACAAATTTTAATTTAAAGAGCCCTTCACACGACAAAAACCTCCAGATTTTCTGCCAATTTTGGGGTAAATAGTTCCGACCTTGCGGTGCACAAAAGTGTGCAATATTGCAACGATAACCGAAAAATTTGAACAGGACCGGGCTCGAAAACATGACACACTTTTCCAACAGTAGGTTCGCTGCACTTAACACAATTTTGGAAATTCATTTCGTGTAAAGAGATATAATTTAACTAATAATAATCCCCTCCTAAAATAGCTGACGTCATTTTAAAATATACGCAGTGAAATCTAGTGTTACATTGTACGTAGTTGTTTGAACCCACAGTACTGACTTCATTAACACGTTGAGTGTTTTGTGCTCCATTATAATAGATTTTTATGAGCAGGTAAAAATAGAATCACCGTTTTTTTTTTTGTTTTCCAGTTAGTAACTTCTTTGATCGTGATTCTATATCTTTTACTCATACGTCTGCGTGTTATGGACGATTGTGTTTAAAGGTTAATCTTAACGGTTACGACCTCGTCACATACCAATATTGGTTTAAGGTTTGCACAACGTTAGTCGTCGTAAATCAGTGGTTGTTCATTGCTTTCAAAAAGGTGATGACGTTGGTACGTCCACTCCTGTATTTGTAGTTTATGAATCTACCTTGCTTTTGTTTATTATTAGTCCTCGAGTCCTGTTGTGACTGCTTAGTTTGAATTGAAATTGTGTGTACACGTGTCTTTACTAAGATGACGTCATCACCAAATGTTGCAACGGAAAAACTCACTTGAAACACACAGTAGTAAATCAAATTAATAATAAAATTTTGTAATATTTCGAAAAAGCTGGGTTTGTTATGTTGTAGTGTGCTTTGGAGACGAGAGAAGTTTTGTCTACTTCCGCCTCATAGCTTACTTACAATTTACAGTGGAATTTCTTCTGAAAATATATTTAATTAACCAGGGCCGGCGTCTGCAATTTTACTTTATTTAAAAAGTATATAAAATTTGGTTCCGGACACCGACGTTTTTGTGTACTAGGACTACCGGCGCCTTTGGAAAATTCCCATTTTTTGAAAGATCCTCAATTTTGAAGTAACGAAAAAATCTCTGGAATCCCTTGTGTTTTGTTTTTGAAGTAATTTGGAAGAATCGGGCGGATCTTTCCGTGAATTGTTTTTGAAGTCGTTTCAAAGATTCTCGGCGATCTACTATGGGTCTTGTTTTTAAAGTAATTTGAAATAATCTCGGGGATATTTCTGTGTTTTATTTTTGAAGTAGTTTGAAAGAATCTCGGGGATCCACTGTGAGTCTTGTTTTTGAAGTAATTTTGAAGAATCTCGTGGGTATTTCTGTGTTTTGTTTTTGAAGTAGATTGAAATAATCTTGAGGATCCACTGTCGGTCTTGTTTTTAAAGTAATTTGAAATAATCTCTGGGAAATTTCTGTCCTGTTTTTGAAGTAACTTGAAAAAATCTCGTGGATGTTTCTGTCTTGTTTTTGAAGTAACTTGAAAAAATCTCGGGGATGTTTCCGTCTTGTTTTTGAAGTAACTTGAAAAAATCTCGGGGATGCTTTATATTTTGTTTTTGAAGTAGTTTAAAAGAATCTCTGGGACCACTTGTGTTTTGTTTTTTAAGTAATTTGAAAGAATCTCGGGGTTTACTTCTGTCTTTTGTTTTTAAAGTAATTTGAAAGAATCTCGGGGATATTTCTGTGTTTTGTATTTGAAGTAATTTGAAAGGATCTCGAGGATATTTCTGTGGTTTGTTTTTGAAGTAGGTTGAAAGAATCTTGGGAATATTTCTGTGTTTTGTTTTTGAAGTAGTTTGAAAGAATCTTGGGGATCCACTATGGGTCTTGTTTTTAAGATAATTTGAAAGAATTTCGGGGATATTTCTGTCCTGTTTTTGAAGTAACTTGAAAAAATCTCGGGGATGGTTTGTATTTTGTTTTTGAAATAGTTTGAAAGAATCTTCGGGACCACTTGTGTTTTGTTTTTTTAAATAATTTGAAAGAACCTCGGGGTTTACTTCTGTGTTTTGTTTTTGAAGTAGTAGTTTCAAAGAATCTCGGGAATCCACTATGGGTCTTGTTTTTAAAGTAATTTTAAAGAATCTCTGGGATATTTCTGTGTTTTGTTTTTCAAGTAGTTCGAGACAATCTTGGGGCTCTACTGTGGATCTTGTTTTTTAAAGAAATTTTGGAGAATTTCGTAGATATTTGTTTTGTTTTTGAAGTAGTTTGAAAGAATCTTGGGGATCCACTGTAAGTCTTGTTTTTAAAGTGATTTGAGAGAATCTCGGGGAACTCTCATGTCTAGTTTTTGAAGTAACTTGAAAAACTCTCGGGGATGCTTTGTATTTTGTTTTTGAAGTAGTTTGAAAGAATCTCGGAGACCACTTGTGTTTTGTTTTTTAAGTAATTTGAAAGAATCTGGCGCATCTTTCTTCGAATTCTTTTTGAAGTAATTTGAAAGAATCTCGGGGTTTACTTCTGCGTTTTGTTTTTGAAGTAGTAGTTTGAAAGTATCTCGGGGATCCATATAGGTCTTGTTTTTAAAGTAATTTTAAAGAATCTCTGGGATCCACCGTCGGTCTTGTTTTTAAAGTAATTTGAAAGAATCTTGGGGATATTTTTGTGTCCTGTTTTTGAAGTAGTTTGAAAGAATCTTGGGGACCCATTGTGTTTTGTTTTTTAAATAATTTGAAAGAATCTGGCGGATCTTTCCGTGAATTGTTTTTGAAGTAATTTGAAGGAATGTCGTGGTTATTTCTGTGTTTTGTTTTTGAAGTAGTTCGAGACAATCTCGGGGCTCCACTGTGGATCTGGTTTTTTAAAGAAATTTTTGAAGAATCTCGTACATATTTCTGATTGTTTTTGAAGTAGTTTGAAAGAGTCTCGGGGATCCACTCAGGGTCGTGTTTTTGAAGTACATACCTAGTTTTGAAGAATCTCGGGGATATTTTTGTTTTATTTTTGAAGTAATTTTGAAGAATCTCGGGGGTTTTTCTGTGTTTTCTTTTTGAAGTAGTTTGATAGAATCTCGTGCATCTACTGTCTTGTGTCTTGTTTTTAAAGGAATTTTTAAGAATCTCGGGGCTCCACTGTGGATCTTGTTTTAACAGAAATTTTTGAAGAATCTCGTAGATATTTCTGTTTTGTTTTTGAAGTTGTTTGAAAAAATCTCGAGGATCCACTGTGGGTTTTGTTTTTAAAGTAATTTGAAAGAATCTCTGGGATATTTCTGTGTTTTGTTTTAAAGTAATATTTAAGAATCTCGGGGGCTTTTCTCTGTTTTGTTTTTGAAGTAGTTTGAAATGATCTCGGGAATCCACTGAGTGTCTTGTTTTTGAAGTAGTTTTGAAGAATCTCGGGGATATTTTTGTTTTATTTTTTAAGTAATTTTAAAGAATCTCGGGGGTTTTTCTGTGTTTTCTTTTTAAAGTAGTTTGATAGAATCTCGGGCATCTACTGTGAGTCTTGTTTTTAAAGTAATTTTGAAGAATCCTGGTATTTCTGTGTTTTGGTTTTGAAGTAATTTTTAAGAATCTCGGGGCTCCACCGTGGATCTTGTTTTTTACAGAAATTTTGAAGAATCTCGTAGATATTCCTGTTTTGTTTTGAAGTTGTTTGAAAGAATCTCGAGGATCCACTGTGGGTTTTGTTTTTAAAGTAATTTGAAAGAATCTCTGGAATATTTCTGTGTTTTGTTTTGAAGTAATTTGGAAGAACCTTTGGGTTTTTTTTCTGTGTTTTGTTTTTGAAGTAGTTTGAAAGAATCAGGGGGATCCACTGAGGGTTTTGTTTTTGAAGTAGTTTTGAAGAATCTCGGGGATATTTTTGTTTTATTTTTGAAGTAATTTTAAAGAATCTCGGGGGTTTTTCTGTGTTTTCTTTTTGAAGTAGTTTGATAGAACCTCGGGCATCTACTGTGTATCTTGTTTTTAAAGTAATCTTGAAGAATCCTGGAGGATATTTCTGTGTTTTGGTTTTGAAGTAATTTTTAAGAATCTCGGGGCTCCAGGGTGGATCTTGTTTTTTACAGAAATTTTGAAGAATCTCGTAGATATTCCTGTTTTGTTTTGAAGTTGTTTGAAAGAATCTCGAGGATCCACTGTGGGTTTTGTTTTTAAAGTAATTTGAAAGAATCTCTGGAATATTTCTGTGTTTTGTTTTGAAGTAATTTGGAAGAACCTTTGGGTTTTTTTTCTGTGTTTTGTTTTTGAAGTAGTTTGAAAGACTCTGGGGGATCCACTGAGGGTCTCATTTTTAAGTAGTTTTGAAGAATCTCGGGGATATTTTGGTTTTATTTTTTAAGTAATTTTGAAGAATCGAACGGGTTTTTCTGTGTTTTCTTTTTGAAGTAGTTTGATAGAATCTCGGGCATCTACTGTGTATCTTGTTTTTAAAGTAATCTTGAAGAATCCTGGAGGATATTTCTGTATTTTGGTTTTGAAGTAATTTTTAATAATCTCGGGGCTCCACCGTGGATCTTGTTTTTTACAGAAATTTTTGAAGAATCTCGTAGATATTTCTGTTTTGTTTTTGAAGTTGTTTGAAAGAATCTCGAGGATCCATTGTGGTTTTTGTTTTTAAAGTAATTTGAAAGAATCTCTGGGATATTTCTGTGTTTTGTTTTGAAGTAATTTTTAAGAATCTCGAGGGCTTTTCTCTGTTTTGTTTTTGAAGTAGTTTGAAATGATCTCGGGAATCCACCGAGGGTCTTGTTTTTGAAGTAATTTTGAAGAATCTTGGGGATATTTTTGTGTTTTGTTTTCAAGTAATTTGGAAGAACCTTGGAGTTTTTTTTGTGTTTTGTTTTTGAAGTAGTTTGAAAGAATCAGGGGGATCCACTGAGGGTCTTGTTTTTAAGTAGTTTTTAAGAATCTCTGGGATATTTCGGTTTTATTTTTTAAGTAATTTGGAAGAATCTCAGGGGTTTTTCTGTGTTTTCTTTTTGAAGTAGTTTGATAGAATCTCGGGCATCTACTGTGTCTTGTTTTTAAAGTAATTTGAAAGAATCTCGGCGATCCACTGTGGGTCTTGTTTTTAAAGTAATTTTGAAGAATCCTGGAGAATATTTCTGTGTTTTGTTTTTGAAGTATGTAATTTGAAAGAATCTCGTGGTTTTTTCTGTGGGTCTTGTTTTTGAAGTACTTTTGCAGAATGTCGGGGATATTTCTGTTTTATTTTTGAAGTAATTTGGAAGAATGTCGGTTTTTTGGGGTTTTTGTTTTTGAAGTAATTTGGAAGAATCTCGGGTTTTTCTGTGGGTCTTGTTTTTAAAGTATTTTTGAAGAATCTCGGGGATATTTCTGTTTTATTTTTTAAGTAATTTGGAAGAATGTCGGTTTTTTTTGTGTTTTTGTTTTTTTTTTGAAGTAGTTTGATAGAATCTCGGTGATCCACTAACGGTCTTGTTTTTAAAGTAATTTGAATAAATCTTGGGGATATTTCTGTGTTTTGTTTTTGAAGTAGTTTGAAGGAATCTCGAAATCCACTGTGTGTCTTATTTTTAAAGTAATTTGAGAGAATCTTGGGGACCCCTTATGTTTTTTCTTTTTGTGTATTGTTTTTGAAGCAATTTGTTAGAATCTTGAGGAACCCTTGTGCCAGATTTTCGAAGTAGTTTGAAGGAATCTTGGGGATGCCTTTGTCTAGTTTTCGCAGTAGTTTAAAAGAATCTCGGGAACCCTTTTTGTTTTTGCAGTAATTTGAAAGAATTTCGGGGATCTTTTTTTGAAGTATTTTGGACGAGGAGTGTAGAATAAGAACGGAGAGAGCATGTCGTATGCTTTCAATGACACGGTTTCGGTACAAACTCAAACACCGCATACACAGTCTGTCGACTGTGCGCATGTGCGAGCTGGCTACAAACCTCGAGAAAACCCTATCGTATTAACGTTATTCCATAGACGTACATCTCAGTGATTTTCTTCCACCACGTGCTGTGTGTCTTTATACTTTGTGCCTTTTTTTTTAATAATTTCGACATGGTGAGCTGCAAACTTTGTAAGTCGTGGAATGGAAGTAAACAATCTGCGAAAAACAGACTTAGTTTTTATAAGTAAGTAATAAATGTATAACTTGAGTAACTTTGCACCGCCACTGTTTAGCGATACTTTCGAACGTAGCGTATTGTAAACATCGTCGTACGCGGTGTCTAGATTTCGAGCGGTCGGTGCCGTATTTTTCCACCGTAATATTCCTTCGTTCTTATTTTGAAAGAATTTCAGTAACCTTTGGGGTTTGTTTTTGAAGAATTTGGTAGGATTTCAGGGATTCTTTGTCTTCTTTTTGAAGTAATTAAAGCACGGAAAAATTTATACAGGCGCCCGAAACGCTTTAAAAATGTATTTCAATTCCTTTTTTTTTTTCGTTTGAAAGCTGGTTTAATCAGGATGGTTGTTAGCTTTGTTTGATCACCACTTCGGCTATTTCGGGATTTCGGGAATAACACAATTTGTATTGGAATTAACTCAATTTAAGACTTTTCAAGGTTAACTTTTTTTTGTTACCTGGAGTTGAGAAAATTTTTGTAACGCGAAACGCGGGAATTTCCCAAAGCTTGACGGAATTATCAATGAGTGCAATAAAATTTTATCGCGGAAGAGTGCCAAATTTTTTTGGACTGGTCACCATAAGTAATGGCTTGTTTTAACAATGTTTGTTATTTTATTAGCGGCATTGTATTTATGGTTACTTTTAATTGAGTGTGCAAAAATTGGTAATAATTACGGAACTAGCCAGTGTGGTTAAAATTTTAGTGTTTTTAAATGTAGAAGAGGTCACTTACATCTAATCGAATTTGTTTTGTTAAATATAAAAATGTGTGTAGATTCAGTTGGTTTTAGCACGAGCTGGTCATGTCGCTAACACGTGATCACTGGATCTGTTTGACAGAATAAAAAGATAGACTTGGACTAACGATTTACTAAACTTTTGATTTTTTTGCGAATATCTGTGTGCAAAGTGTATAAAAATGAAGGCGGATTCATAAGCCACAACTACATGAGTATGTAATTTTATAAATCGCAGTACTAGTCATAAAAAACTCACCCAGTTTTTTTCACACAAGATACTTTACTTTTGAAAATACCAATAGTAGCAAGCTTTCTACTGCCAGCTGAATATGCCAACAAATGCTATAATTATCTGCTTTGAAAACATGCCAAAAAATATAGAAGGGTCGTTTCTACAAAACAAAACATGAGTGAGGAAAAGGAGCCACGTGGTTATTGGACACCTTTCCAGTATTAATTAAATTAGGTAAATTGGATAATCGATTCTCGGGGCGAACCCAAGACGCACGGATCCACGAAAAGAGGGGTTTCCCCGTCGAATAATCCGGGCACACATTCTTTTCGGTTCGCATATGCAACATAAACATCATAAATGTCAGACAGATATCTCGAGGATCATGGCCAAGTTCATCTCCATCACAAAATAAAAATCAAACCGTCGGCGATGCATTTCTTAATCATTTTCTGAATCCTCAATGCCATCACCAAAAACAATATTGACCAAAAAAACGTCCGAAATTCTCCGTTTTCGTTTTTCCGCGGTATCTCGTTAACCTTCTAGCTTGTGATATAACTTCTTGTTTGTACTTTTTGTTAAAATCGAGCGTCTTCCCGCAGGTACCATGAGCGTAGTGACCCGGACCCAGCGGATTGCGACGCTATAATGAGCGGAAGCCCCACGCTGAGCGAGATGGGCCTCCACAAAGCCGACACCGTCTCCAGGCTGCACAAGGGCGACGCGGAGCAGGCCCTTGACCTCGCCTCGGGCTCGCCCGACGCCGACCTGCCGCAGAACGTCGACGAGATCATGCAGGCCATCAAGGCCATCCCCGACGAGGACATCGTTGAGAAGTTCCTCACCGACGTCGACATGATGAACATGTCGATGGAGGAGCAGCCCGACCTGCGGGAGAGCCAGGCGAGGGAGAGCCTCGCCGAGCTGCGCGCCGTCCAGGGCCGGATCGAGCGCCGGCTCGACTTCCTCCGGCGCAAGGTGCGCAAGCTGCAGGCGCGCGCGATGGGCCAGCACGTCGGCGGCGAGGTGGCCGGCGTCTACGAGTACGTCCACCGCTCGCTGAAGCGCCTCAAGGACGGCTCGCTGGAGGAGGAGCGGCCGGTCGCGCGCCCGCTCTCCTACGGCTCGACGAAGGCGATGCTGAAGAAGCTCGAGATGGCGGCGACGCTCCAGGCGAACTCCGTCGCCAGGCAGAAACATTTGCCGAAGTACTTCGGCTCGGGATCGAGTGAACCGGGAAATCACAGGATTAGTGTGCCGGGTATCGTGAACGTGCCGCCGTGGCCGATCGAACACAAACAGGAGTTGCAGAAGGTCGCGGGACTGCTGCACACGGAACTGTGTTTGGTGCAGCACGACGTCGACTCGGAAGCGACGGAGAGTAGTTCGGGGGGTGAAAGCTGTGATGAAATGCAAAGTTATAATAATCCCCATCAGCAGTACCTTAGTATGTGAGTATAAAAAAAATTTTTGTTTTAATTTATTTTTATTAAAAAAAAAACGTTTAAATACGAAAGAAAGCGTTAACAACTTCATTCGAGCATTATTTTTAGAACTTCGCGTAGAAGGTAATTTAAGTAACCATTAATGTTACACTTCACTTAAAGCTTTCTATTTTGGGTTTATTATGAAGGTTTCAAGGTAATTGAAGTCATTACACTTTAAGAATTTCCGCGAAACTGTAATTACACTAATCTGCGAAATTATTACAAATTTTTCTTTTTTCTTAAACAAGCTCCAAAACGTCTCTTTGATCACAAGCGGAGCGAGTGTTTAAAAAACGAATGTCTATTTTATAAACTGCGCTTTTTCTACGACTTCAAATTAAAACCACAATTATGGAAACTGAAATTTATTACGATACAAATTTTTAGAAGAGATAAGACTTGTACACAGACAGCATTTATAAATATTTGTTCACTACGAAGGCTGTGTATTTTGCGTTCCGTTCCGATAATCAACGCGATTTTCATTAATCCGAGCTGTTTATTCGGCGCAATCCATTCAAGTCAAAGAATACTTTGACTGAATAATAATTCAGCCTTAAAACAAAATATGTGCATTAAAAAAAAAAAAAAAGTGCGCACTTCATTGATTAGACGTGACCTGCTCAACATGCGTCGACTTCAGGTCACATTGGAAGTCCCAATGAATAAAAAATGCGGTTTTTATACATCACGACGTTGTCGCAGAAAAATGACCAAATCTGCAATGTAAAAACTGAGTTCAACTATTTTTTAAAGAAGTGGCACCAAAATAGAGTTGTTTGCACACAATTTCCGCTTTTGCAGTGTCAATGTTTGTGCGCACATTGTGTCATTTATAAAGCTCGATTTAGACGTAAATGCGGCATCTGGATTTTCTGCACTGCTCAAACTCTAATAGATCAGGAGTCAGCTGTGTTATTAGAGGAAACGTATTTTCAAAAAATCCGGATGTAATGGTATATTATGTAACAGGTTTTCTAAACGCCTCTTTAGTCGCATTTTTTTAGGTACGAGCGGAGCGAATGTTTAAAAAACGAGCGTGTAGAGAAATTTATAAAAAGGAGGGACCTTTGATATTCTTTCAATTTCTTAAAAAAAAAAATTAGGGTTACCCAGATTCTTTTAAAATCTTTAAAAAATGCAAAATAACTCCGGATTTCTTACGAATTCTTTAAAAGAACAGCTCCTGGAATGCTTTTCAAAAATTAAAAAGAAAAACACCAGTTTTTTTTTAATTTTGTCAGAAAAAAAAACACCAAAGACTGCCCAGATTCTTTTAAATTCTTAAGACCCTAGGGTTCTTGAGTTTTTTTCAAATTAAAAAAAAAGGACATTCGAGGCTCCCCAGATTCTTTCAAACTCTGATAAAAACATAGACCCCTGAGATTCTTCCAAATCTTTTCAGAAAAAGAAACATTAAGAGCTGCCCGGATTATTTGGAATATTTTCAAAAGTAAAACACAAAGGATCTTTGAGATTCTTTTAAATTTTTTACAAGAAAATCTGGAACTCCTTATAAATTCTTTAAAAGAACATTTGGGGTTCCTAAGATTCTTTCAAAAAAAAAGAAGGGTACCTGAAATTCTTTTTGAAATTTCAAAAAATCTATTAAGGGTTCCTGGGATACTTTTCAAAAATTAAAAAAAAATACACCATAGATTTTTCTCCTTTCAGGAAAAAAAACACCAAAGACTGCACAGATTATTCTAAATTCTTTCAAAAATCAAAGACTGGGGAGATATAAATTTTTAAAACATCAAGAGTTCCCGAGATTCTTTTAAATTTTTAAGAAATACACCCTAGAGGTCCTGAGTGTTTTTAAATTAAAAAAAAGACGTTCCAGGCTTTCCAGATTCTTTCGAACTCAGATAAAAACATAGGAACCCCTGAGATTCTTCCAAATCTTTTCAGAAAAAGAAACATAAAGCGCCACCCACATTCTTTGGAATATTTTCAAAAGTAAAACACAAAAAGGACCCCCGAGATTCTTTTAAATTCTTTACAAGAGAATCCGGAACTTCTTATAAATTCTTTAAAAGAACACTTGGAGTTCCTACGATTCTTTAAAATGGTACTTGGGATTCTTCTTCAACTTTCAAAAAACGTATTAAGGGCCCAAAGGTCAACAATTTTTAAAAAACCCCATAGATTTTTTTCTTTCAGAAAATGCCAAAATTATTTTAAATTCTTTCAAAAATCCAACAGTGGGGAGATTCCAGTTACTTATAAATTCTTAAAACATCCAGGAGTTCCCCAGATTCTTTCAAACTCTGATAAAAACATAAGAGATTTTTTCACATTCTTTCAGAAAAAGAAACATTAAAGGCTACCCAGATTCTTTGGAATATTTTCAAAAATAAAACACAAAGGACGCCCGAGATTCTTTTAAATTCTTTACAGGACAATTCGGAACTTCTTATAAATGCTTTAAAAGTACACTTGGAGTTCTTAAGATTCTTTAAAAAAAAAAAACCTGAGATTCTTCTTGAACCTTAAAAAACCAATTAAGGGCCCCTGGGGTGCTTTTTAAAAATGTTAAAATAAACACCATAGATTTTTCTTAAAAAAAACACCAACGACTGCCCAGATTATTTTAAATTCTTTCAAAAATCAGATACTGGGGAGATTCCAGTATTTATAAATTCTCGAAACATCCAGGAGTTCCTGAGTTTCTTCAAATTAAAAAAATTCTTTCAAACTCTGATAAAAACATAAGAGATTCTTTCACATTCTTTCAGAAAAAGAAACATTAAGGGCTACCCAGATTCTTTGGAATATTTTCAAAAATAAAACACAAAGGACGCACAAGATTCTTTTAAATTCTTTACAGGAGAATCCTAAACTTCTTATGAATGCTTTAAAAGAACACTTTGAGTTCTTAAGATTCTTAAAAAAAAAACCTGAGATTCTTTTTGAACTTTCAAAAAACCAATTAAGGGCCCCTGGGGTGCTTTTCAAAAATGTTTCAATAAACACCATAGATTTTTCTTAAAAAAAGAACACCAGCGACTGCCCAGATTATTTTAAATTGTTTCAAAAATCAAACACTGGGGAGATTCCAGTTACTTGTAAATTCTCGAAACATCCAGGAGTTCCCGAGATTATTTTAAATTCTTAAGAAACACCCCTAGAGGTCCTGAGTTTCTTCAAATTAAAAAAAAAACATTCGGGCCTCCCCAGATTTTTTCAAACTGTGATAAAAACATAAGAGATTCTTTCACATTCTTTCGGAAAAAAAAACATTAAAGGCCACCCAGATTCTTTGGAATATTTTCAAAAATAAAACACAAAGGATCCTCGAGATACTTTTAAAAGATTTTTTAAAAGAACACTTGGGGTTCCTAAAATTCTTAAAAAAAAACACGAAAGGCCCCTGCGATTATTCTTGAATTCTCAAAAAGTCTTTGGAGCCTCTGGGGTGGTTTTAATAATTTTTAAAATAACACCAGTTTTTTTTTTTTTTTTTTTTTTTTTAATTAAAAAAGAGAGCCCGGGAGATCTTTTCAAATTCTTTCAAAAAAGAAAACACAGATTCTTTCAAATTCTTTCGAAACTAAAACACCAGAAATTTTTTTAAATACTTTCAAAAAATCCAAGAGCCCCTAGAGATTCTTTTAAATTGTTAACAAAAAACACTAGGGTTCCACAAATTTTTTAAAGAATTTCGGGCCCCCCCTTTTGTTTTCTATTTGAAGTGACTTGAAAGAATCTCTGAGACCCCTTTTGTTTTGTGTTTGAAGTAGTTTGAAAGAATCTCGGGGACTTCTCGTCTGATTTTTGAAGTGGTTTTAAAGAATCTTGGGGACCCCTTTTGTTTTGTTTTTGAAGTAGTTTGAAAAAATCTCGAGAACCCTTTTGTTTTCTTTAGTTTTTGCAGTAGTTTGAAAGAATCTTGGGAACCTCTCGTTTATGATTTTTGCAGTGGTTTTAAAGAATCTCGGGGACCCATTTTGTCGTGTATTTGAAGTAATTTGAAAGATTCTCTGGGACCCCTTTTGTTTTGTTTTTGAAGTAGTTTGGAAGAATCTCGGGGACCTCTCGTGTGAGATTTTTGAAGTGGTTTTAAAGAATCTCGGGGCCCCATTTTGTTTTGTATTTGAAATAATTTGAAAGAATCTCTGAGACACCTTTTATTTTGTTTTTGAAGTAGTTTGAAAAAATCTCGAGAACTCTTTTGTTTTGTATTTGAAATAATTTGAAGGAATATTTGGGACCCCTTTTGTTTTCTTTAGTTTTTGCAGTAGTTTGAAACAATCTTGGGGACCGCTCGTATATGATTTTTGCAGTGGTTTTAAAGAATCTCTGGGACCCATTTTGTTGTGTATTTGAAGTAATTTCAAAGAGTCTCCGAGACCCCTTTTGTAGACCCCTTTTGTTTTGTTTTTGAAGTAGTTTGGAAGAATCTCGGGGACCTCTCGTGTGTGATTTTTGAAGTGGTTTTAAAGAATCTCGGGGCCCCATTTTGTTTTGTATTTGAAGTAATTTGAAAGAATCTCTGACACACCTTTTGTTTTGTTTTTGAAGTAGTTTGAAAAAATCTCGAGAACCCTTTTGTTTAGTATTTGAAATAATTTGAAGGAATCTCTGGGACCCCTTTTGTTTTCTTTAGTTTTTGCAGTAGTTTGAAACAATCTTGGGAACCTCTCGTATATGGTTTTTGCAGTGGTTTTAAAGAATCTCTGAGACCCCTATTGTTTTGTTTTTGAAGTAGTTTGAAAGAATCTCGGGGACTTGTTGGGTGTGAGTTTTGAAATGGTTTTAAAGAATCTCTGAGACCCCTTTTGTTTTGTTTTTGAAGTAGTTTGAAAAAACCTCGAGAACCCTTTTGTTTAGTATTTGAAATAATTTGAAGGAATCTCTGGGACCCCTTTTGTTTTCTTTAGTTTTTGCAGTAGTTCGAAAGAATCTTGGGGACCTCTCGTATATGATTTTTGCAGTGTTTTTAAAGAATCTCTGAGACCCCT